CCTCCTTCCCCGTCATCGTATTAACAATGCCTCTTAAAAACAGTTTGCAATAAAGCAGAATATCAGGCCTGCGTATTGCAGTGTAGCACACACCTTTGCTCGCTTTCTTGGCATTTTTCCCAGTCGCTTTCTTGCGCGTCTCCAACTCTACCTCCATCAGAATTGCATCCAAATCATCGAGATCAGTATTGCCTGAAACAGTGTGCAGTCAATCAACGCTGCCCTACACATACTACTATTAACGTCACAGAGATGCAGCAACCACGCCCTCCAGGCACCCATGAACAACAGCATCCACGCAAACAAGCGATCCCATACACAAGCACTGCTCGTTCAAAACCAATCTACACGAATTTCGCGTTTTCCAACGATCCGAACAAACCCTAACATAGCCCATGTATCTGAGAGGGCGTCCGATTGCCCGCACGGTCACTTCCATGCAATTATGATCGCTGGAACGAATGTCCAACTTACTGACAGAGAGCCAACGAAGCTTTCCCAAATCTCACTCCAGTGCCTAGCACGCAGCACAGCAGCATTCAACGGCTGAGCTAACGATCTCCAGGAAAGCTAAGAACTGCAAAAACCGGTAATTCTGAAGTTACTTTTCTAAATCGAGCAAAAGGCAAGAAAGTCTCCTACTAATGCTAGAGTACCAGTGCGCGTAATGGCCGGTGGCGCTGCTCTCTCAGGTGGGAGGCAAGCGCCATCAGCTTGCCTGTAAGCAAACGAAAGAGAGCGAGGAAGCCACAGCGGGCTTCAGTTCCCACCGCCCAGAATATTTGCCTCTGGAAGAGGGAAAATAGCGATGAGGTTTCAGCTTCTCGCAGCATTACCGGTCCATCTTGTGAATCTGAACTAACATGAGCGGTTTTTGCCCCTGACCTGTAAACCAGTTCACTTCCTACTGAAAATTTCGGGAATGTCCACAAGCAAGTACCATTCGTTTCACTGTCCCCTCTCTCACGGCCACTGCTTCTGCACATTTGCTTTTATCGAGCATCCACACGTAAAAAAAAATAAAAATCGAGGGATGTAGAAGTTACAAGTAGTCGTGCAAAGCAGACAAACCTTTGGGCTTCGGCTTCTTCTTCTGGGCATTCATCGTTGCTACGCCAGAACACGTTATTTACCTGAAAGGAGCAATGCTAAAAATGCCTCTGAAAGGATGCACTACATGCCAACTCGAGCAAAAACCAAACAAACGATGGTGACACAACAACCAAAATTTCTTCCTCACCAACCAAATCAAACTGTGGCAATTTAAAATAAAGAAATCGTTATCGCCAAAAAAACGAATTGTAAGATCCCCAGCCCTCTTCGATCCCAAAAACCCTCCGCTGCCCCGG